AATTGAACATGCTGAAGCATCAGCGCTTGACCTGAAGGAATTGGTGGCAAAATTGGCTAAAGAAAAGGCACGCAAAATGAGATTCTGATGTGCCTGAAATGGAAACATTAAAGAGACTTAAATTTCAACATCACGGTTAACAGGATTTTTCAAAACACTTTGTGATTTGCATTTTTCTGTTTGAGAGAGAAAATCAGAGATGGTATTACTTGTTCTCACAATTAAAAAAAAAAACAAATTAGCCATTTCAAATTTTGGGTTTTTAATTCTTCCTAAAATGCATTCATGTTTGAAAACTGGGGGGTTATTTTCCAACCCAGACCTGGCAACCCTAGTTTGGCCCTTCAGAGGAACTGGTTGGCTGATGTGTGACACAGAATACCGGACTAGGGGGACTACTGGTCTGATCCAGCAGGGCTCTTCTTATGACAGGCGGGAGGCATAGGAGCCTTCCTCTTTCTACACAACAGGTCCTTCCGAAAGGCAGCAAAACTTTAAAAAGGACAGCACTACAGGAGCCTGTGACCCACCATAGGGTCTAGACCTATAGGCTGAAAGAGACTGGCATATATTTTTTTTATTTTGGCATTTTTGTCTTCTTCTGTTTTCTTTATGGTTTTTCTCTTACAGGAGGAAGCACCACAGCTAGGATATTCGAGAGCATTCAGTGACCTAAAGGGGAAGTGGCTGGCCACTATGTGAGACTGAGACAGAATGGTGGACTAAGTGGACCACTGGTCTCCTCCAGCAGGGCTTTTCTTGTGTTCTTATGATAACACTCTGTGTAACAGTACTCTGAACTTCCAGCTTGCTCTGTTTTTAAAAAGCAACTCTAGCCCTTTTTGTTGTGGAGATATAAGAGGAAAGGCACATCCCTGCCATGAACATGGCTAGAGATTTACTTAAAAAAAAAAAAAAGAGCGTGGACATTTCAAGAACCTGATATACAGATTGTTGTAACAATATTAAATTGCCGAAAAACACTGAGAAAGTCCTGGTTGGCCAGCAGACGTGTTGCTTCTGGGGATTGGAGCAGGAAACTATGGGAAACTCACTATGCTCACTTTGCAGTAGAAGGGATCAAAACCAAAAAAATGGAGATATAATTGGCTTATCCTACTAAAAAATTTTATTTCATTTCATATGATTTACAACATTTACATCCCGCTTTTCTGTCCAATCAGGGCACCAAGGCAGTTTTAGGTGTCTCGCCTTGAATCTCTGGAGAAAGGTGGGACAGAACTGTTTAAATAAATGGACAAAATTAACATAAAAAGAGGCAGGACCAATTGCAGAGATCTTTTGGTGGTGCCTTTCAACTCACGTTGAACATGGAGAGAGCCATGTGGTGGGTGGATTTATCCCAGGATCCAGCTGGCTCGGTACCAGTCTAGGTTGTTTGGGGTACCTGGAACACAGAAGTGTTGAAAACCTGCCCATATTCTAGCAATAGATGCTAGAATAATCTTTTTTTTTTTAAAATAACTATGCAGGCATGTGATGTTGAACGGCACAGATTGCTGTGGCTTTCCTAGAGCATTAAAAAACACATCTATAAAAATCATAAGAACAGAGTCACGTAACTGAAAATGGGAACATGTAAGAATGACAGCAGGTCCTTCCAAAAGGCAGCAAAACTTTAAAAAGGACAGCTCTACAGAAGCCTGTGACCCACCATAGGGTCTAGACCAGTGATGGCGAACCTTTTAGAGACCGAGTGCCCAAACTGCAACCCAAAACCCACTTATTTATCGCAAAGTGCCAACATGGCAATTTAACCTGAATACTGAGGTTTTACTTTAGAAAAAACAACTCATACATTCACTTAAGATGATCCAAACAAAGTAAGGAAAGCAATCCCAAATGCTTTCATTTACTTAAAATTATTTGGCAGAGAATTCGACACTTTAATGATGGCCTGGGCCTGGCTGGGGCGATGGCACGCGTGCCCACAGAGAGGGCTCTGAGTGCCACCTCTGGCACCCGTGCCATAGGTTCGCCACCACTGGTCTAGACCTATGGGCTGAAAGAGAATGGCATTTTTTTTTTATTTTGGCATTTTTGTCTTCTTATGTTTTCTTTATGGGTTTTCTCTTACAGGAGGAAGCACCACAGCTAGGATATTTGAGAGCATTCAGTGACATCAAGGGGAAGTGGTTGGCCACTACGTGAGACAGAATGGTGGACTAAGTGGACCACTGGTCTCCTCCAGCAGGGCTTTTCTTGTGTTCTTATGATAACACTCTGTGTAACAGTACTCTGAACTTCCAGCTTGCTCTGTTTTTAAAAAGCAACTCTAGCCCTTTTTGTTGTGGAGATATAAGAGGAAAGGCACATCCCTGCCATGAACATGGCTAGAGATTTACTTTTTTTAAAAAAGAGCATGGACATTCCAAGAACCTGATATACAGATTGTTGTAACAATATTCAATTGCCAATTTAAGAAAAACACTGAGAAAGTCCTGGTTGGCCAGCAGGCATGTTGCTTCTGGGGACTGGAGCAGGAAACCATGGGAAACTCACTATGCTCCCTTTGCAGTAGAAGGGATCAAAACAAAAAAAAACGGAGATATAATTGGGTTATCCCACTAAAAGTTTTTATTTTATTTCATATTATTTACAAAATTTACATCCTGCTTTTCTGTCCAATCACGGCCACGATGACAGTTTTAGGTTTGTTGTTGAAGGCTTTCGCGGCTGGAGTTAATTAGCTGTTGTGGCCATAAAAGTAAAGGTTCCCTTGCTCGAAAGCCAGTCGAGTCTGACTCTAGGGTTGCAGTGCTCATCTCCGTTTCAAAGCCGAAGAGCCAGCGCTGTCCGAAGACATTTCCATGGTCATGTGGCTGGCATGACTGAACACCAAGGCGCACGGAACGCTGTTACCTTCCCACCAAAGTGGTACCTATTTATCTACTTGCAGTTTCTTGCTTTCGAACTGTTAGGTTGGCAGGAGCTGGAACTAGAGATGGGAGCTCACTCCGTCATGCGGCAACTCGGGTCTCGAACTGCTGAACTACCGACCTTCCACAGCCTGCAGTTCAGCGTCCTAACCGCTTGAGCCACTGCAGCTTGAGCCATACAGCCTGGAAAATCCACAACTAAAGTTTTAGGTGTCTCACCTTGAATCTCTGGAGAAAGGTGGGATAGAACTGTTTAAATAAATGGACAAAATTAACATAAAAAGAGGCAGGGCCGATTGCAGAGACCTTTTGGTGGTGCCTTTCAACTCACGTTGAACTTGGAGAGAGCCATGCGGTGGGTGGATTTATCCCAGGATCCAGCTGGCTCGGTACCAGTCTAGGTTGTTTGGGGTACCTGGAACACAGGAGTGTTGACAACCTGCCCATATACTAGCAATAGATGCTAGAATAATCTTTTTTTAAAAACAACAACTATGCAGGCGGGTGATGTTGAACGGCACAGATTGCTGCGGCTTTCCTAGAGCATTAAAAAACACACCTATAAAAATCATAAGAACAGAGTCATGTAACTGAAAATGGGAACATGTAAGAATGACCACACATCACTTACTTGTGGATGCCCCTAGCATAAAGAACTATGAAAAGAAGCAAGATCAGAGGCCCCACTGGTGGACCTCCTGATGGCACCTGGTATTTTTTGGCCACTGTGTGACACAGAATAGTGTTGGACTGGATGGGCCACTGGCCTGATCCAACATTGGCTTCTTATGTTCTTAAGATCCGTTTACTTCATTTATGCCCCACCTTTCTCCCCAGTAGGGACCCAAAGCAGCTTACTTCGTCCCCCTCGCCTCCACTTTATCCTCACAAGCAACCCTGTGAGATAAGTTAGGTTCAGAGTGTGTGACTGGCCCAAGGTCACCCAGCAAGCTTTCATGGCACAGCAGGGATTTGAATCTCGGTCTCCCAGATCCTAGCCCAATACTCTAGTAACTACACCACAGTGGCCAAACATTCTTAATTGAAACGTAGAAGGGACCCCAAGTGTCATCTAGTCCAACCCCTTGCACAATACAGGAAATTCACAGCTACCTCCCCCCACTCACTCCCCCCAGGGGCCCCTGCTTTATGCCAGAGGATATTAGAGTGGTTCGTCTTTTCCACTGTTTCTCCTCCTTCTCAGTGGCCGTTTGCTCTCCCTGGGAATCACAGAAACGGATTCCCTGACTAGACAACTAGGTTCATCTCTCTCATCTCCCTCTGAAATTCCTTTGTAAGAGAACTGCTACTTTTAGGCCAGCAACTGAGTGTCCTGGAAGGTTAAACGGTTCCCCCACTGGTTTTTGAATGCTGAGGGTTCTAATGTCAGACTTATGTCCATTTATTCTTTGTCGTAGGGACTGGCCTGTTTGTCCAGTGTAGAGGCTGGAAGGGCGTTGCTGACACGTGGTGGCATCAATCACGTTAGAGGACGAGCAGGGGGATGAACCTGAGATGGTCTGGCTGATGTTGGTGGGTCCACTGATGGGAGTTGCTAGGATCTATAGGAGAACAAAGCTGGCATCTTGGTTTGCGGCGGGCCTTGGTACCAGAGTCCCTGTGACTGTGAAGTAGTTTATCATTGCAGGTGAAAAAGTTTATTTATTTATATCTTTATCAAATTTATACCCCGCCCTCCCCGCCGAAGCAGACTCAGGGCAGCTTGCAAGGAAGTAAAACACATTGTTGTTGTTCAGTCGCACAGTCGAGTCCGACTCTTCGCGACCCCATGGACCAGATAACACCAGGCCCTCCTGTCTTCCGCCGTCCTCTGAAGTTGGCTCAATTTCATACACATTGGTTTGACGATAAAAATAGTGATGATGTTTGGCGGCGATGGCAGCAAGTCGATGTCCTATCCTATTGATCCGCTCACACAGCTGTGATTGGACAGAGACAGTTTCTGCATTCTGCACATTTATACAGTTTCTCCTCTGTGGATTCTCTGGTGTGAAGTGAGGCTATAGCCACTGGCGAAACTTTTTCCACATTCGAAGCATGAGTACGGTTTCTTCTCTGCATGCACAGTCGTTTATGTGCGGTAAGGCTTCTTGAGCGAGGAAAACTCTTCCCGCACTCTGAACATTCATAGAGTTTCTCCCCTGTGTGCATCCTCTCATGTGTAGCAAGGTTCCAACGCAGAATGAAACTCTTTCCACACTCCGAGCATGTATATGGTTTCTTCCCTGTGTGAATTCTTTGATGTACATACAGAGTGTAACGATTGTTGAAGCTCTTGCCCACGCTGACTGAAACTCTTTCCACACTCCGAGCATGTGTATGGTTTCTCCCCTGTGTGAATTCTTTGATGTAAATAAAGACTGTTAAGATTACTGAAACTCTTTCCACACTCCAAGCACTTATATAGCTTTTTTCCTGTGTGGAGTCTTTGATGTAAAATTAGTGTGTCGTTCCTAGCAAAGGTCTTTCCACACTCTGAGCATTCATGTGGTTTCTCCCCTGTGTGAACTCTCTGATGGATGGTAAGTTTTCCACTCTGAATGAAGTTTTTTCCACACTCCAGGCATTTATACAGTTTCTCCCCTGTGTGAAGTCTTTGATGTAAATGAAGACTGCTACGATGTTTGAAACTCTTTACGCACTCTAAGCACTTATATTGTTTTTCTCCTGTGTGGATTCTTTGATGTAAAATGAGTGCGTCCTTCTGACTGTAGTTCTTTCCACACTCCAGGCATTTATATGGTTCTCCTCCAGTCTGAATTTTTTCATGTAACATAAGGTCTGATTTACGAGTGGGACAGGGATGCCCTGTCTTTGGTGTTTTATGTTGCATGGGGATGTCACAGAAATCCTGACAACCCATGGTTTTATTCCCCTGCTCTTTTCTTCCTTGTGTTTTCCTTCTCTGCTGCTGTTTCGCTCCATCCAGATTTTTGGCAGTACGTCCCACCACTTGAGGCTTGGCTAGTTCTAGAGACTGACCACCTGGTTCTTCCTCAGTTTCAATGTCATAAACGTTTCCTGGTGGAAATAAGAGAAGACTTCAGTGAGTTCCCAAGGGAACAAACTCCACTTTGTTGGGAAAGTCACAAGTGAATGGAATTTAACTATATTTGTTAGGGCCAGCATACCTGAAGGATCATCTTTTCC